TGCACGCGCGGCACACCTGCCTCGACTTCTTGCGGGGGTGGGAGGGCGGCCGCGCGTTATAAGCGGGCGGCGGCGACTCAAGCCCCGGCGGCGGCGGCGGCGGCGGCGACCGGCTGCGCCCGCGAGGCGGGGAGGAGGGAGGAGCCTCTCCTCCTCCCTCCTCCGGCAACGGCAACGGCGCGGCGCCAAGTCGATACTCGCGGGGCCAGCCCCAGGACAGCGGTGGCACCAGCAGAGGGGGCGGCGGTAAGAACAGTGGTGGAGGCGTTGTTGACGGACCGGGGACGGTGGCGAGCGCGAGGTCAGCCAGAGGCGACGAGCACGGCAACGGTGAGCGGAGCGGCGGCGGCGGCGGCGACGGCGGAAACCGCCGCGCCCCCGTCGACCGCGTCGTGGCGGTGGGCTTCAAGTCCGGGGAGTGCGCGGTCCTGGACGCGACCACCGCCAACGCGCCGTCGTTCCTGTCGGTGCTCAACAAGGGCGGCGCGCACTGCGAGGGCCGCGTGACAGCCGTGCGCTTCGTGCCCGGGGCCGGGAATCGGCTGTTCGTCGCCGCCTTCTCCACCGGGGCCGCCTACACGTTCGACATCGGCCTCGACAAGGAGGCCCCGATGGGCGCGGCAGCCGAGAAAGCTGCCGCCGCGGCAGCCACGGCATCCGCTACCGGGGCTTCCAACGGCGGCGGCGGGGTGGCGGCGGGAGGTGGGGCCGCGACCGGAAAGAGACGAGGGTCGGGTGGGAAGGGATCATCGTCGTCGTCCGGCGGCGGTTGGGGGAGCGTGATCGGGGGAAGGTCCACCCAGGATAGCATCGGCAGCAGCAGCGGCGGGGGAAGCTGGGGCCGCAGCCGGAGCAACCACGGAGCGTCGTCGACGTCGACGTCGTCGTCGAGCGGCGGCGGCGGCGGCGGCGGCGGCGGCGGCGGCGGGTCTTCGGCGGGGGCGGCGCGGTCGCTACCGACCTCCTTCACCGGCGGCGGCGGCGGCGGCGGCAGCGGCGGAGGAAAGAACGGTCGCAGCGGTAGTAGCAGCGGCAGCGCTAGCGGGGGTGGAGGGACCGGCAACGGCCCGCCGCCGTCGTCGGACCGGGGAGGCGGTTTTATGGTGGAGAGGAACGGGGTGGCGGGGGCGAACCCGGTCTCGAGGTGGAGGGTCTCCTCGGACGGGCGGGAGATCACGGCGATGGTGTTCGCGCCGCTCCAGCAGGCGGACGGGAGGCGCCTGGTCGCCTTGGCGGCGCTTGACGGGGTGAGTGAGTTGCCCGCCGTGGGTTCAGTCTGTCTAATAAGAGTCCGGGGAAGCACGCTTGTGGTGTGGTGTGTCGAGCACAAGACGATTGGTTGGGCTGCGGCGTGGTTAGAGTCAGGGGACTCACGATTGTTGTTGGGTGGGTGTGCCGAGCACGAGGATTCCTTGGGCTGCGGCTGAGTCAAAGAGTCCGCTGAAGCAAGCCACATTCTTTGTGGTTGTGGTTGTGCCTCGTGTCTGTAACCAGCTACAAGAGGCTGGTGCTTTCATTACGTCTTTGACGGGTATGGCAGATAGCTAACGAACGTGCCACGTGTGTTGTTCATCGCGCGTACTGCTGGCTTGGAGACTGCCGGTTAGGTAGGTGTGACCTCAGACGCGACCACATTTGCCGAGCGTCCAAGTGGAGGCAGCGAGTCGTTGATTTCATGCCGCGTCTGCCCACCCCTAAACTTGGTTTTGTTACACCGCCGCCATTCGGTATCGTGGCGATCGGTTGCTCGTTCACCCAGGGCGAAGTGAAGCAGCGGTCGTTGTGTTCATGTTGAAAGAAGGAATAGGGTTCAAGGAGTTCCTGCATTGGACGGAACGATGTAGGGACAGCAGAGCTGAAGGTCCACGTGTCCTGTCCACCCCTCTCTTGGTGTGTTGCGCCGCCGTCTTTCATTCGATATCGTTGCGATCGGTCCCTTGCCCGTCGCGCGCTGTGCCGTGTACGCACCTGTTAGGTGGTGCGCGTCGTGGACTACGATGAGCAGGCTCTGGTGGCCGGCTTCAAGTCTTGGTTCGGGGGTATCCTGTGCCTGGACTGGAGCCCGGATGGGCGGTACATCGTCACCGGTGGCGAGGTGAGAGAAATAACGCTTCGCCGGTTTTGTGGGGTCATGTGGTACGGTGCACGTCTGCGTTCCTCCTTGTGGTTGGGCTGGGTTTCTGCCGCCGCCGGCAGTGCGTGGGTTATGGTTTTGGCGAGAGCCCTCGCCTTTCTATGTGTGCCTTGGCTTTTGACAGCATGCTTGCTGAATGTAATCGCGTACTCCTACCGACTAAAGTTAACACCACCAAATCCACCCGACGTCGCTGCTATGACGAATGCTGAGTAGGATGCTGCGTGCTTCTTTGTTGGATTGCATCCCGCAGCCCCTTCTTCCTTGTCCCGGGCAAGTTGCTTGTAGCGTTTTCCACCCCACCGATGGACACGACACCGCGTTCCGCGGAAGGAGAAAACCGGTACCGTTCTTCACGCTGGTCTTGCTGCTGCTTCCTCTCGGCAATTTCCAAGCTGTCGGAATCCGGAAACCTTGAAGAATGTACCCCCCTTTAGACTGTGGTTAAATCTCGGACGGATAGTCTTTTCTGTGAGTGTATGTGTGTTTTCTACAAAAAAAAATGTTTACCATGGTATGTAGAATAAACAAATGTGAGAACCTTGAACAAACATGAATACATCAATACGTATGTGTACATGCCCATGGTACGCAGGATGACGCCGTTACTCTCTGGTGCGTGGAGACCCGCACGTGCGTGCTGAGGGGCGAGGGGCACGGGTCCTGGGTGACGGGGGTCGCTTTCGACTACTGGACCAGCAGGAGGCCGTACTACCGCTTCACGTCTGTGGGGGAGGACGCCCGGCTCTGCATGTGAGAGGCTCAGAGAGAGAGAGAGAGGCGTTGTTTGTTCTTGTGTGGTACCCACTCTGTTGGAAAATGTAGGCGCCATCCGGATACCGGCGCGAATACCACAAATGGTCCCCTATACTGTGGTGTGGAGTGGTTTATACTAAACGAGCGGTCGTGTCGTGAGCTCTCGCGAAACGGAGGAAGCCGGAGTTGCCATAGATACACGAGTGGAGAGGAAGAACAACTCGCGAGTGTTTTGGCAGGTGTCGATTCAATTTGAGGGAGCGAGAGAGGGTTGCGTGTATGCCATACTTGTACTCGGGGGGAACTCGGCGTGTCTTGTCTTGTGCACAGGGCTTCTTCGCCCTTGATCTTTGGTGTGCATACGACGCTCTTCCCATCTCTTGGCATGCAGACGCTCTGGTGCTATCAAGATCGTGTAATGTTTTGCATTATTTTCACGCGTACGGCGTTTGTTGTCGGAGTGTGCTAAGGGAGGGGGGCTCTTGCACCTGGCTCCGTTCACCGACGGACACACCTTCAAAGCAACAACAAACACCACAGCATGGCCTTTGCTTCCCCCCGCTTCCGAAGCTCCCCCTCCCCCCCCCGGTGTTTGCCATCGGGGTTTGGGTTTTCGTCGCTTGGCAACGACGTTGTAAAACAAGCCCCCCACTAGGTGTTTGCCATCGGGATTGGGTTTTCGTCGCCTGGCAACGACGTTGTAAAACAAGCCAATTCACTTCGTGAACTCGGCAACCAGGTTACCGTTTTTTTTTTTTTACCTCGTTTTTTTTTTTTTGGCGGTAACCATAATGGTGGTCGAGTACATCATGTTGTGCGGGGTCGAGAACCCTCACTCCGCGCAACGGGGGATGATCGCACCACGTTGTGTTATAATGGTCAAGCTTCCTCGAGGCAGTTACACAGTGCTTACAACTGTCTCTGAAAGTGAAAGCACCAGAAAAAAAATTAAGTCATACGTAGCTGTCATCCGTACGCAAGGAAGTAAGCACAAGATGCCGAACACCCTTAGCAGGATGCAGCTCACCCTTCATGCGACTCGCCAAATACCTCACGGCGCTTCGCGCTTGGTGATGTGAGAGCCTGGTCCGGTGAGAACCCGGCGTGCTCCGTCCCGGCTTTGTAGGGATGCGAGGTCAATGGTCAAACGACTACGGCATGCACGACTATGAGTACACCCCCCCCCCCCCCCCCACGAACACGACCTACACCCCCGCCCTTTCA